CGACAGTCAGAACCCGTCCCCCCACACGTAGGCGGAGAGAGGCCACCCTCTCATTCACGGGGGTGAACCCCAATACACAGGCACCAAGTTGGGGGGCAATTAGTACGCCCACGCCTGCTCGGCGCCTCTCACCAGGGGCAACTCCAGAGTGGAAGAGTGTCCAGCCCCTCTCAAGGAAACTGGTTCCAGAGCCCGAGCCATGTGTAGAGGTGAGTCCGACTATTTCTAGCCGGAACCTCTCAGCCTCACACACCAGCTCAGGCTCCTTCCCCACCAGTGAGGTGACATTCCACGTCCCAATAGCCAGCTTCTGTAGCCGAGGATCAGACCGCCAGGGTCCCCGCCCTCGGCCACCACCCATCCCACATTGCACCCGACCCCTTTGGCCCCTCCCACAGGTGGTGAGCCCATAGGAAGGGGGACCCACGTCTCCTCTTCGGGCTGTGCCCGGCCGAGCTCCATGGGTAAAAGCCCGGCCACCAGGCGCTCGCCCACGTGCCCCACCTCCAGGCCTGGCTCCAGAGTGGGGCCCCGGTGACCCACGTCCGGGCAAAGGAACACTAGGTCCATTTGTGTTTTTCATCATAGGGGTGTGTTTGGGCTGCACTTTGTCTGGTCCCTCACCTAGGACCTGTCTGCCATGGGTGACCCTACTAGGGGCATAAAGCCCCTGACAGCATAGCTCCTAGGATCATTGGGACACTCAAACCCCTCCACCACGGTAAGGTGGCAGCCCAGGGAGGGGAACTAAAAATTATTGTTTCATAAAATATTTTACTCTGTTTTTAAAAAAAATGTTCCGTGATGAACGCTGAACAAAATGTCTGGTGATGTTCAGTCTCACTGTATGTTGTGTTTGCTTTTAAAACACCTAGTTGTTACATTTTAGTGATTTGTTCTAATCTAATATCAAAATAGACAAAAAAAGGGCGTTAAAGATGAAAAAATTAAAAATAAATTTCACAAATACACATAGTTTTCTCAGGTGGTATAAACGAGTGTCCTATTAGAATATAAAAGTTACTTTAACCTGGATCAGTCAAACCAATAAATAGTTTGGAACATGCATGTGATTGATGTTTAACATAAAAAACGTTAAATATGTCAGATAGCTGCTGCATCACACAGATTGTTCACTAGAGGTATCTTCTTTCTAAAAGTAAAACGATGAAGAAGGAAGTGATTTTTAAGTTGTAAGTGTCTGACAGACAAACTGAGATCACTCTACAACCTGTCGTTTATGCTGACTGGTCATTTTTGACATATTTTATAAACCTTTATAACAACAAGAGCTGCATAAAGGTATTTTTAAACTAATATATTTTCCCATTAGAGGCTGAAGTCAGCAGCCATGTTCATGTCAGAAACTGGATGTTTGTTCATGTGTTTTCTTCTCTACATCTCAGGTAGGAACGATTGATTTCCTTCAAGTTTCAAGTGAAGATTTTGTCGACATAGAAATGGAGACAAATTTGTGATATTTTTAAATTTTCACAATCTTTAAAAACAATTTTTGGAAGAAAAAAAATCTGTAACGAGTTCCTACATGACAAATATTTTAATATTGAATTAGGATCGTTATAGATTTAGGGAAGAACAAGACAAAAAAACAAGTGCAAAAGTTTAAAAAAGTAATTTTCTCTTGCAGTACCTGAGATGAAACCAAACAGCATCTGTGCCTTGAAAGGTTCATCAGTGAATCTGACCTGCTCTGCTCCGTGTCCACATACAAACAAGACATGGTTTATTATTTATAACAACGTTGAAAAGTTCATATATCATGAGATTACTGCAGATGATGGAAAATACATAATCTCAGAGGACAGTTTCTACACTCTGACAATCAATGATGTGACAGAGAGAGATGACAAACTTTACTACTGCTGTGAAAAGATTGAAGATCAAAAACCGAGCACTAAATCAGACGCCATTCAGCTCCGTGTTACAGGTACAGTGATGGTTACACATTTCTCACTAAGTGATGATGCAATAATCTGTTATGATCATCTCAGATGTTCAGGTGAAGGTGTTTCCTGCCTCAGAGGGACTCAAAGTAACTCTGATGTGCACAACCAGCTGCTCTCTGACTGACAGCCCTGCAGCCTTCATCTGGTACCAGAACACAGAGTTCCTCTATATGAGGACTGGTCTCCCTGGTACCAAGACCTGGTCAGCAGTGAGGACTCAGTCACATACTCCTGTGCTGTCAAAGGCTACGAGGAGCTCAAAGCTCCTGACGTCTCAGTGGGTCAGAAACAATAAATATAATCAGAAAAGCTTTGATGAGACACACTGACTGTTTTCCATTGAACCTAATTATTTATCTTTGGTTCTGGTCAGGTTTAGTCACATGGACCTGCTTCACTGTGACCTACTCTAATGGGAGAATCTGTTCTAACCATCAAACATCAGAGACACAGTCCTGCTCCATCACGTTTCCCAGAGGTGATGCTTCAACTAAAAGGATTGATTTTTTTCTATTAAAACATTTTTATTGTCATCAAAATGACAGTCTTACATTTAATACTTTAACATGCAGTTCAAACTATGTGTCTGAATCTCTTTATTTTTATGCTAACAATTAATAAAGTATGAATTATATTTTATGTATTACATGCTGAAAGAAGATAAAAGTTTTAAAAATATCCACGGTTTTCCAACAGACTTACATGTTGAAAGGACAAACAAAAGAGATCATGTTGAGCTGAGCTGTAAAACCAGCTGTCCTCTGACTGAACCTCTGACTGAACCTCTGACTGAACCTCTGACTGAACCTCTGATGTCCTTAAAGTGGTATAAAAACAGAAAAATGGACAGACACAAAGACAAACAACAAATTTTATCTCCTTCCTCATCACCAGACAGCTTCTTCTGTTCTGTATACGATCTGTTCTCTGCTGAAGTCTGTGAGTATGAACCAGATTATAATCTGACAACTTCTGAATGTTTTGAGTTTACGTACAACAAAAATGTAATTTCTGTTGACTTCAATAATTTGTTCTTTAATTTTCTTTTAATTCATTTTAGCATCCAATCACAGCTATTGTTTGTATTTCAGGTGTTTCAGGCACAAACTGCTGGAGTCTGAATTACATCAGCAGCAGGAGAATCTGTGCTCTGAAAGGTTCATCGGTCAACATCTCCAGCAAATACACACATCCTGAACACCAGCAGGTTCAAGATAAACGCTGGTATAAAGTAAAGATAAATGCAGAGCAGGAAGAAGAACAGCTGACTGAGGTTAAAGACAAAGTGGAGTTTCAGGACATGAAGAACCAACACATCCTGAGATTAACCAACCTGCAGATGAATGACACAGCAGAGTACAGGTTTGAAGTGCAAACAGATGGAGGTCAGCTGAAACAGACTGGTTTCTCTGGAGTTACTCTGACTGTCACAGGTAAAAACAATTTATTGTATTTGTTTGTTAGTTTTTGTATTTCCTCACCCATCTGTCCACCTGCAGATGTCAGAGTGGATGTTGGACCTGCTGCAGAGGTGACTGAGGGTCAGAGAGTCACATTAACCTGCAGAACCAGCTGTCCTCTCACTGAAAACACAAACTACACGTGGCACTTCAACCAGCAACCTCTGAAGCTGACAACAAGACAAAACAAACAGCTGATTCTAGATGCAGTTAGCAGTCAGGATGCAGGAAACTACTCTTGTGTTGTCAGATCAGACAGACTGGTCATCTCAGCTGTGACGACTCTGACTGTCCGAAGTTTAACAGGAACATGGAAACCAGCAGCTGCAGGAGTTTCTGCAGCTTTGCTAATTTTTATAGGCCTACTTCTCATTTTTCTCTTAATAAGGTGAGCATTACATTGGTGTTTCTGACTAACATCGATCTTCCTTGTTTTAAACATACCAGTAATCTGCATCTCTCATCACGTTTATGTTTTCACAGTTTATTAACCAGGAAATATAAAAATGCTACAGTTGAAAGAGCTGACAACCTGGAGCAGGTAAAAATAAGAATACTTTTCTTAAGTTTATAAAAATTAAAACCTTTTTACTTTTTTAATCTTAAAATAGTATACCTTCATGTTAAAACTTTATATTTCTTATTATGACTGTCTGAATAACTAACAAAATGTCTAAAAATGTTAAGTCGTGTTTGCGCTGTTCTCAGGTAAACTCTGGTCACACACACATGAGTTTTCAGCTCAAACAGCAGAGGATGAATCTGAATACAGCCAATCATTTGAGGAAAACACAAATCCTCTCTACTCGAGCTTTGAACCACATCAGCACCAAGAACAAGAGCAGATCTACTATTCCGAGGTCAACTAGACCTGAGACAACACCAGAATAAAGAGAAGAATCCTGTGAGTCCAACATTATGAAACAGTCTTTCAGTGTTAATCACAGGAATAAGTGTTTACAGTTAAAAAATAACACATTTCTGAGGTAATAGAAAACACACATCCTCTCTACAAAACCGTCAATAATGGTGTACCACAAGGTTCAGTTTTAGGACCCACTCTCTTTACAATCTACATAAGTAATGAAGGTCAGATCATTCCTGATGCATTCTTACATTTCTACGCCAACGACCGTTGTTCATTGTCGAGCTAGAACAGTTGCTAAGGTTTTCCAGCTTTTACAGTCGGCGTTAGACATCATTCAGTCAGATTTGTTTAATCTCAAACTTCTGCTAAATGCTGCTAAAACCAAAGGAATGTTTTCAAACAGGAAGTCGAAACCAGCAGCTCTTCCTTATATTTTATCTACAAAATGGTGTTCCTATTGAGTATGTCGATTCTCACAAATATTTGGGAATCTTTGTCAATGCACATGTAGCACTGATATCGCACAGCTAAATGCACTAGTGGACCAGTTCTAGGTTCTAAGGAGTGGGGAAGCAAGAATATCAACACCAGAGACCGCTGCTTTGAATGGAAAACGACAATTTACTAAATGCAAAACACATATGAAATACAATACATGAAAACCCCCCTCCAAAAAAAGAAAAGTATATCACTCCTTTTTACTTGTTAGTTCACCTGGTTTATTTTAGTAAAACTAATCTAATTTAGTTAGACCAGTCACTTTTCCTTAAGTTATTTTAGTCAGACTAATTTAAGTTAGTCAGACCAGTCTTTTTTTCCTAGGTTGCACCTATTTTAGGATTCCTATTTTTTCCTGGGTTAACTTGTTTCTTGTCCTTCACAGGTAAGGAAATACCCTCAAACACAACTAGATCAAAGTGGACCACAATTATTCAAATCACATTCATAGACATAACATATGAAAACAAAGTATAGCACTTTAAAATCCATGTTCAAGTCCAAATGTAAGTTCAGGTTCTAGATTCAATGGAAAGCTTCTGTTTGATTCAGTCCGGTGAACAAATAATAATAATGGTAGCTCAATCAGTTCTTTAATCCTGTTCAGTTCGATTTGAACTCGTTCCTGAAATTCCTATCTCTCAGGTAGCGAATTACCACACGCAGGGGAGTCCCTCCCTGTTACGATGGAGAAGATGAATTGAAGGTCTGGGTCTGGCTCGCCATCTTGAATCCCGTCTGTGAATGTGCAAAGTTGCACACGGCAGACCGATCTCCGCTCCAACCGAACTTCCAACCGATCAAAAAAACCTGACCTGTGTAACAGGCCACAACACAACAAAACTCCTTTTAAATCCTCAACAATTAAATTCTTCTTCATAAATTCAATATATCAACTGGATAGCAGTTTACACATTAACCTAATGACAATTTATGACGGAGCATTTCTTTGCTAACAGCTACGTTCTTAGCGTTAGCTTTCCGCCAAAAGGAAAAATACAACACTGTGAAAATGTAATAAAATAAACACAAAACTCACCAAAACCGATGTAACTTAATTCTCATAAAATCCCTGTCAGTGTCCGACCAGGTAAATTATGTCTTCTTGACTATAATATTAACTTTTTCTCCGTTAATTAATCAACCGCTCTTTTCCTCCGATTCCTCCTCTGCTCTCTCCCCCTGGTTTTTTGCACTGCAGCGTCACCCTGGCTATGACACTGGTTTCTTAAAGGGGCAGCGACATCATTTTCTATTCACATACTTTTAATCCGCTATTCATTCCTATTTATATCAGATTTTAACGTGGGTTACATCCTCCCCTCTTTACCTAATGCACGTCCCTGTGCATTTTGAATTTATACTGTCATAACTCTAGGGATTCTTAGAGAGCTAGGTTCTTCAAGAGAGTCTGTAAATACGTCACTCAATGTTTGAAATAAAGACTGAACTATTGTGATCAACGGGTTCCCTAGTTCAGGATAAGTCAGTCTTTTAGTCGCTTTTCTGTCTCTAACAGGTCTTCCTGAACAGTCACTTTCATTTTGGTTTTCCATTTGACTTAGATCACTTGTGTTTTCTTTGCTCTCCTGGGCAGGTTGAGTAGAAGGATGGATATTATCCGGATCCTTCTCAGGTAAGTCTTTCTCTTCAGGATCAGGTAAGTCTTTCTCTTCAGGATCAGGTGGGTCTTTCTCTTCAGGATCAGGTAAGTCTTTCTCTTCAAGATCAGGTAAGTCTTTCTCTTCA